ATCGCCTGCTTAGGCAGATGAAGGGGCCAAGGTTCGATCCTCTGCATGCCCTGCCATCCCCACCCCCGGAGTGCACTGAGAGGGCGACTGAGACTAGGCATGGTGGCGTGTGCCTGTAATCCCAGTGCTTGGGAGGCTGAAAACAGGAGGATCACTATGATTCTGATTTGTGTTGTGAGACCCTATAGACCTTGCAGACCCTGTACTAAATACGAAGAAAAAAAAAATTCATTTCCAAAATCAAAGTCCTTTTCTATTAAATTCTTGGATAGGCAAAACTAAATTACAGTGATAGAAACATGAACAATGTTTGCAAAAGGGAGAGGATCACTGGAAAGTGAGAGGATCAAGCTTACCCTAGTGATGAAAATATATTGTATCTGGCCTGGGATAGCAGTTACAAAGGATTACACATGTGTCAAAGTTCACTAAAAATATGTAATATCTGTGCAGTTACATGTATATAAATAACACTTTAGTTACAGAAAAAAATATGGCACCATCCTCACACCATTAAAAAGCGGTTTCCTTCGCAGGTTATAAAAATATCAAAATCTTACAAATAATCAATCATAATTACCCTCTAGCTATTCTATTCTCCGTAATACACATATTCGCTAGAAGGTGAATGCTAACATATACAACTTAAGGTCTAAAAGGCCTATCATGGTCAAGGTCAAATCTTTTACTTATAAATATTTAAGAAGCTTTCACAAAAATAGAATTAAGCATCCAAACATTCATTATTTCATTTTTTATCTAAATAAAGAAAACATAATGCTGAAACTATAAAATGCCAAAATACAACATATGTGTGAACCAGCTGTTTTGAGAAGATAATACCATTTGTTCCCTAAACTACTTCACAGGAGTGTCTTGAAGATTAATGAGATAATGGATCAGATTCTTTTCAGTGAGTAAACTACTTGCTGTAGGTAATTTCTGCATTTTAAGGTACAGTAAATCTATCAGACACTGGGTTACAATTATTATACTGAGGCACAGTGGTATAGAGTTAGAAATTTATATTCTCTTTTGTTTTTTTAAAGAGATTTATATTTTCATAATCAAGTTTTTATACATGTAGAATTGTGCTCTCTGAGACACAATTTATACATAAAATACATTTTAATTCTTTTGAAAATCAGTTTTTATTCTATGAGTTAAATAAGCACTTCCTTCCTTTTAGCATTTAGGAAGTTATTCTAGGCATCTAAGAACAAAGAAATAAAAGATACAGCAACTGCCCTCCAAATCTCACAGTTTAGTAAGTAAAATATATAAATACATTTGAATGCATTGTGACAATGCTTTAAAAATTCCTACATAGTTGGTGTTGCAGATATATCTAGACTAGGTACCTAAGTGAGAGACACAGAGCCTAGCAAAGCCAGTGGATGCACACAGAGAAGGCCTCTGGAAAGCAGTGGCACATGAGCAGATTAACTCTAGCAAGATGCACCAAAGGGCAAAAGGAAAAGCCAAAGACCCATACAAGTCTAAAGCTAGGCCAAAAGATATTAAAAATAGATGTATTTTGGGCCAGCCAAAGAACTCATCGGATTAAAGCATCTGCAAGCAGGCAGGCACAGGGGCCAGTCCCCAGGCCTGCCAAGCTGGCCCCGCCCCCAGGACAAGCTGAGAAGGCAGTTGATACTGGGTGTGGTGGCGCCTGTAACCCCAGCTCTTGGGAGGCTGTAAACAGGCGGATCACTAGGAGTCCAACTCTGATCTAGTAGTGAGACCCTGAACACCTTGTAGACCCCTCCCTAAAAAAATACAAAAAAAAAAAAAAAGATGTATTTTGAAACCACAAAGTTTAGTGAAATAAATCAGATACACAAGTTGAAATGTCACATGGTTTCTTTCTTTTTTAAAAAATCATTTATTTATTTATTTATTTATTTATTTATTTATTTATTTATTTGATACAGGGTCTTACTACATAGTTCAGACTTATAGTGATTCTCCTGTCTCAACCTCTCCAGCACTGGGATTACAGGCATGTGCCACCATGCCTAGTTTCAGTGGCTGGCACCAGCATGGCATGTGGTACCAGGGATCAAACCCAGGTCCTTGTGCTTGCCAGGCAGGTGTTTAAACTACTTAGCTATGTCCCGAGCCCAGGTTTCTCTTATTAAGAGAAACCCAAACCCAAATAAATAAAGGACAAAATAAAAGATAGATAATAGGAAAAAGATAGATCTTTTGTAAAAGGGTAGAAGACCAAGAGATGAGGAGAGATTTGTCAGAAAGGAGAGGAAGAGAAAGGGATTAAAAAAAAAAAATTGAGAAGTGTTATATATACATGGACCAACTCCCCATGAGAAATGTAATCACTGTGCACTACAAACAAGTAGTAATAAAAAGTTTTGAAGAAGACAGAAAGTCAAGGACACACAAGGTACTGCTGGAGGATTCTCAAGGTACAACAGGATAAGAAAATAGCTCGGTGTGGACAGAATTGGGAGGAACCGTACAGCAAGCAACCAAATATATGTATGTGGAGCTCTATAGATTTAAGGACCAAAATTGGCAGCAAGCACCCTGGAGAGAATAACTGAAGTCATCACCCAAGAACCTCTGCAGTGTGCAAATGAAGAAGATCATTCCAGAAATCCTGATATAGGTATAAGTGAAGAAGGGGCAGGCAACAGAAAGCTGTGTAGGAGCAAATGAGGTCATAAAAGAGAAATTCAATTAAGACAGTGTCTTGAAATCTAAATGAGCAAGAGCAAGAAGGAATAACCCATGATGAAAGTCAAGAAAGATAAGACTACAGTGCTGTTTGCCTTTAATCATCTATAAGTTCTCAGAAGACTTCAGCAAGAGTGGGTTCTGAAACGGATGCCAGAGGAAGTGAAGCCCAAGCAAACTGTCGGCACTGTTTAGGCATGGGTTACAAAAGGAGAAATGAGGATGGTGGTTAATAAGGGATTGGATTAAAAAATGGTTTTGAGGAGGTATGAAGAATAAGTATTCATGTAGAAACAAATACATATATATAGAGATAGACAGATATAGATATATAAAAAATTTTTGTGTTTTCAAAAGTTGTTCATTGTCACAGTTACTGTCTGCCCTACCCCTTTCCACAATGAATCTAAAACCAGTTAAAATGAGATGTTTTCCCCTCCAAGTCACAAGGATAGCAGGGTCTGAAAAAGTGAAAGGGTCTCAGTCTGTTCTATAACTTGTCGTCTTTCAGAGAATGTCAATCCTCCCCCCAGGACACCCTATCACACCAGCTGTGTCTTTAGACTCACTATGCCCCCAACCAAGTCTTTCTGGGTCAGAAGAGCAGGAGCCCTAATCTGATGATTGGGGGTCAGAGAAAGAGGAACCCAGTGGCTCTTGATCTCCACAGGACTCCAAACCTACACTGAAGCAAAAATCTCATTCCATACCACTGGGACAGATATCAGACATCCTCTCCCCCCTCTGTCTCCATAAAGTCAACTCACAAACATATTCCAAACACCAAAATGAGCATTTCAGTTAAGTATTAGTCATTATGAAAACAGGGATGTTAAAGTAAAGAAATTCACTCTGTAAAGGGCTTACCCTTTTGTATAACTAGATTTTTGGATAACTTACTGTTGATGTGATCGATGTAGTAGACACCAATTTGAGGGTCAAAGCCCGCTTCCCATCCCCATGGCAGCTCATCCCCAACACAGTCAGCAAAGGACAGGGGTTTTGTTAACCTACAACAGAAAGAACAAATACACAGTGACTTTTGTTGTCATACTCACATGTCAAAATTTAGCTCCTTCAGTGCAAATTACATATCTAGGTTGCATTTCTCCTTTGTTCATGTTTCCAGAACTTGGGCTATTACACTTGAAATATTAAAGAAAAAAAACAAAGATAAAATACAGAAGGGAATATTTAAAATGCAGAGTAAGTAATTCATTATATCCTTTTGAGAGATTAACAGCTAAAGACTGGAAGTAAAACTCTATGATAAATAAATCAAACCATATTAAATTAGAGATCCCTAAACTGTAAGGAAGCCTAAAATCCAGCTTAACTCTGCAGAAAATTGCTGTTCCTTTAAAAATAAATATCTATCCAGGATTCAAATACTGGTATCAGACATGATATTGGTACCCCTAAAATAAGAATATGCATCAAACTATACCAATTTCAGATTTGGGTGCTCTGGTACAAATTAACTAAACTCTCCACTATGCAGTTTGGCATGAGATTTCCTGGAAAGGAAAGTCAAACATGATTTATTTTTAATAAATATCTTGTATATAACATTTACTCAAATTTTAATGGAGCATTTTGTATCTGTGTATTCAAAGTGGTTGGGATAGATATATAGTTGCATTCTCTTAATGAATAGAATGATTTGTTCTAATGGTGCTTGTAAGTAGGATCACAAGTCTGCATCTTGTACAGCAATTAACCACTAAGAAGAATATATGCA